GGAAACCGAGCCATGCCTGGGACCTGGAACACCCGCCCCAGCTCGGCAGCCGGGGGGGACCTTGTGTCAAACAGGGAGGATGGGCCTCTGCCCGCCCCCGAAGTGGAGAGTGACAGCTCAGGGGTGACAGCCCCTTTCGTGACAGTGATGCGCACACGCTCCACCATGAGGAGGGGCTGCCGGTTGGAAGCACAGATTCCAGACGTGGCTCCTCGCGAGGAGCACCTGCAGCAGCGGCCGCCCCAGCCTCTCCAGGGGCTGCCGGGGTCACTGGCCATTAATGTGGTCGCGCATGAGCCCCGTTCCCTCCGGCCACTTCACTCTGCACCCGCCTCTCAGCGAGGGCCGCTCTCCCCACCTCCCCGGGCCCTGGTGGCATCTGCAGACATGCTCGCTGTCTCCACGAGGGGGCGCCGTGGGTATGTGGGGCCCCGGCCAGGGAGCTGCTGACCACCTGGGTGTCCGCACAGCCAGCCCCGGTCAGCAGCTGCCCTTCCTGCACCCACAGCCCTCACACCCTCACACTAGTGGCCCTGTGCATGAAATTCGTGCACAGGTGGGGGGTTTCCCTCAGCCCAGCCTGCACCCTCTCCAACTGGGGACCCCTTGGATAGGGCTTAAACCAGCAGTCGGACATCTCTCTCACAATCTGGGACCACTGGCTCCTAACCGCTCACCTGCCTGCCTGCTGGCCTGATCGCCCCTAACTCAGGGGTGGGCAAACTTTTTGACTCGAGGGCCACAATGGGTTCTTAAACTGGCCCGGAGGGTCGGAACAAAAGCATGGATGGAGTGTTTGTGCGAACTAATATAAATTCAAAGTAAACATCATTACATAAAAGGGTACGGTCTTTTTTTTTTAGTTTTATTCATTTCAAACGGCTGCCCTAACCTCTCTGCCTGCCTGCCTGATCGCCCCTAACTGCCTCTGCCTCGGCCCCCACCACCATGGCTTTGTCTGGAAGATGGCCGGTCAACCCAGGCTAATTAGCATATTACCCTTTTATTAGTACAGATTAGAGTGAATGTGGGGTGCATGGGCATGAAAATGCTGGATATGAGCAAAGCCTCTGCCGGGTTCAGAGCTGCCCAGGTGAGCAGACAAGAGGTGCAGGGGGTCAGGTACGGGGGCGGGGCCGGTGCAGGGGCAGAAGGGCCTTTCAGAAGCTGTGGTCCCAGGGGACAGACCTGCTCCCTGGATGCTAGCCTGCTGGTGAGAATGGGGGACGTGTTAGGAGCTGCTGTGTTCCTGGCAATCCCTCGCTTGTGCAGAGCACACTTCCCGCCCAGGCGGGTCTTTCCAACGTGATGCCGTTGGCTGTAGGAAGACAGCGCTCAGGCCAAGCCAGAGTCCGTCCCCCTGCCTCCTCCTGCTCCTTAGAGACGCCATTCTGGGTGACGCGTCCCTGGAGGGGTCTGAGCAGGGGCAGCCACGCCCGGCTCTGAGAGCTCACAGGGAAGAACTTTGCCTTCTCTGCAGAACCAGAGCACGGAAATCACGCCTCGGTAACTCGCAGTGCGTGCGGAAATGTGCTTCTCTCCCCGAGACGGTAATTCATTCCGTGTCCTTACCCCTCGACAGGCCCTCCCTGAGCGCGAGTCGGCAATCGCCTCTGGAAACTCTGTGGACCTCGTCCGGGCGCTCACTCCTCTCACTCTCTTTCCCGAGAGACTCGTCACTCATCTGCTCACCCAGGGAGCAGGCCAGGCGCCGTTCACTGGAGGAACGCAGCCTCCGGCTCATGGCAGAGGGTAGCTTTTCTCTCTCTCTCTCTCTCTCTCTCTCTCTCTCTCTCTCTCCCAAGACCAGCCTCTGGAAACAGAATACTTTAAAAGGAAAAGACCAGAACTTGTTTTTCAATGAGTCGAGAACAACAGGCGCCATTGTAGCCCAGAGCGAGGGTCTTGCATGCGATTCGGGGAAATCCATAACAGCCCATTGTACGCGAGCTCGAGATTAGATTAAATACGCTTAGGTTCCTGGCGGGTCCAGTTTCCTTCTTAATGTGTAGATCTGTTTCCCAATGGAAGCCCGGCTTCTTCTTTTTTTGAAGACCAGGCTGTTCTGATAAGTTAAACACGTTGGTGGCAACCGTTTTAACTAGAATCGGGGGCAGAGAATCCTTCCAGCGCCCTGTGTTGGGCGAGTAGGACTCCACCTGGTTTCATCCGAAGAGCGGGGGCCGGTTGCCCGCCATAAGGGCGCAGGGGTCCTGTCTGCGACCGGCAAGCGCATCAGAGCCAGGCGTGCTCAGGGGTGCGACCTTCACCTTGTGGCGGATCCCTCTGCATACGGGCACTGGCCGCCCTGGGCTCCCCGAGACCAGAGGGAGGACCCCCTACTGAGGCTGGGAAGTCCTTCCCACTGGGGGCGGGGGGAGGGGGGCGGCGTGAAGAACAGCAATGCCCAGCGTCTAGGGAAGGGCTATCTCACGCACGCACTGTTTTCAACACATTACGTCTCTGAACACGTTGATTCCTGACCACAGGGTCAGGTCATGATTATGCCGTCACAGAGGCAGGAACTGGGGTGCAAAAGTTAAGTGCATCCCGAGAGCACAGTGAGCTGGGCCCACGTGGATTAGTCTAAGGCCGTGGTCGGCAAACCACGGCTCAGGAGCCACATGTGGCTCTTTGGCCCCTTGAGTGGTGCTCTTCCACAAAATACCACACGCGGGCGCGCACGTACAGTGCGATTGAAACTTCATGGCCCATGCGCAGAAGTCGTTACTTTGTAGAAGAGCCGGTATTTTGTGGAAGAGCCACACTGAAGGGGCCAAAGAGCCGCGTGTGGCTCGCGAGCCGCGGTTTGCCAAGCTGCAGTTTGCCAACCACTGGTCTAAGGAATTTAATAATCTATAGCCGCATTTTTATAAATATATTTTATTGATTTTTTACAGAGAGGAAGGGAGAGGGATAGAGAGTTAGAAACATCGATGAGAGAGAAACATCGATCAGCTGCCTCCTGCACGCTCCCTACTGGGGATGTGCCTACAACCAAGGTATATGCCCTTGACTGGAATCAAACCTGGGACCTTTCAGTCCGTAGGCTGACACTATCCACTGAGCCAAACCAGCCAGGGCTATTGCCGCATTTTTAAAGAGTAAATCAAAAGAGGGGAAATTAATTTCAATAATATACTCCTTTTAGTTCAGTGTATCCGAAATATTAGCATTTCAACAGGAACAATACAAAAATTATTAAGGAGATATTTTATACTTTTTCCAGTAATTCTTCACAATCTGCTGTGTATTTTACACTTGCAGCACATCTGTTTGGAATGGACCTTTGGAGTCAGGAGGCTGGGAGCTGATGGACCAGGTGGGCTTGGAGGGAGGATGCTGGGAAGTGGCCGGGAGCAGGGTGTCTCCACTGTCCTGGTGGCTCAGGGTTGACTAGAGTCGGAGGCCACGAGGGCTCATTCTAGTCGCAGAGAGCAGGCCTGTGAGTGGGCCATGAGCTGGGCCACAGCCAGGGGGTCACCCACCTCCTGCTCTGCCCTGACGTTGCTTCAGGAGCCGTGGTCTCTCCCCTCTGACCTCCTCAGCCTGGATCGGGCTGAGAAATCGGGTGGAAGAAGGTCGGGGTGGATGGACCGTAATTTCAGTCCTGGTCCCGAGGACAGCATTTTCCCACAGGAATCACAAAGGGGTATTTTTCAAACATCTGTGACCATAATGCCTTTAATTTGGTACAACCAGCCCAGTGGCCCAGCAATTCTGCTCCTGCATTTGTGCCCAGCAGGGCTGTGCGCGTGTGACTGCCAAAGGACGCACGCGGGGCCCCTCACGGCGGTACCACCTGTCACAGCCAAGGGGCCACCCGACCACCATCCACAGGAGGCTGGCGACAGTGTCTGTGGGCACACGATACGCCACGTGTGTCTATGCAGCCGGACCACGAGGATGCGCAAACCACAGCCAGGCTGATGGCTCTCACAGTGTGTTGAGCAAAAGAAGCCAGACGCCAGAGACACCAAGAACACACACACGTCATTTCATTGACACAAAGTTCAAAGCCAGGCCCGACAGGCCCATGGTGCCGGATATCGAGCTGTGCATTGCTCCTTGCAGCCCGAAACACGCAGCACAGGCCCACCTCACTCAGCCCATGCCCACGGCACGCAGCCCACGCCCACAGCACACAGCACAGGCCCACAGCACGCAGCACAGGCCCATGGCACGGAGCACATGCCCACAGTACAGAGCACAGGCCCACCGCACGCAGCACACGCCCACCTCACTCAGCCCATGCCCACGGCACGCAGCACAGGCCCACCGCACGCAGCACACGCCCACCGCACGCAACACATGCCCACGGCACACAGAACAGGCCCACAGCACGCAGCACACGCCCACAGC